CATGTACTTCAAGGTAAGCATCAGTGTAATTCTGAGGGGGATTTAACATGTACTTCAAGGTAAGCATCAGGGTAATTCTGAGGGGGATTTAACATGTACTTCAAGGTAAGCATCAGGGTAATTCTGAGGGGGATTTAACATGTACTTCAAGGTAAGCATCAGTGTAATTCTGAGGGGGATTTAACATGTACTTCAAGGTAAGCATCAGTGTAATTCTGAGGGGGATTTAACGCAAGCACCAAACAAAGAAACAAACTAACATCAAGACTAAACCTGCACATCGTTCTCAACATTTCATCTTCATTGCCATCGTCATCATCAACTATTTCCGAAGAACTTTCTTGTTTTTGTTTTTTACTGTGTTGACACATTTTCTAGGTAACTTGTTAATATCTGGCTCCAAATCAGGACATAGGACCCCCCAAAAAGTACCGATGCATTGGAAATGATACGTAAGGTCTGTTGGGAATCTAAGGCTCACTCTTTGAGCTTTGGTCTCATCAATGAGCTAATCTGTAATGAAGAATAATTTAGATTTTAATTTAACCCCCCCCCCCAAAAAAAATAAAATTATATGTATTTTACACCTCCATTGACACAATTTAGATCTCCTGGGAAGCAAGCTTTGACATTGCCTATTGGGTCAGAAAGATGCTTGATAATATTTCTGCCCACACGGGAATTGAACTGAGGTATTCAGTGTAGGAAGTGAAGCGTTGAACTGCTACACCACAGAGTTTTGTCTAAACTAGTCTTTTAATCTGATGTTATTTTGGGAAATGGGTTTGGAGCTGTTGGAAATGGATTTTGGGTCTGAGGTCTCATCTCTTTAGAAGATTCCATTGTGCTGAAGGAAGTGTTATACCCACTCTGTTCCACATTGGATATAAAACCTGAAAGGAAATGTGCTTTTGGAATGTCCCGAATGTGAGGGCCTTTTTATGTGGGTGGTTGGCAGGTGCTCTAGTGTGGTTTGCTCCTTCTTTTTTTATCAAACATCTATTGTCCTTGTCGCTCCTCCTTTATTTTGTGCTTTGTTACTCTTTTGTAACACCTCTAATCTTTGGCACTTATGTGACCTAATTGTGTTGCAAGTGCCGTAAAACTCTTACCAACAAACAAGCATTTGTAGTAATCCTATTTCTCATTTCAGCTGCCCCCACCCAGCATTGACTTCACTCTGCCGTCACCAACTATTGGCCTGCCGAGCCTGACTGTTGTGGACCCCCCGTGGATGCCGCACTTCAAGACCAAGATAGAAGAAGTCACAGTCAACCAGGAGGAAACGGTAACGCGAGCGACGACCTTGGAAATATGGATTTAGCAATACGACAGAATGAGCTGCTTATCGCATTTACCTTTGGCAAGATATCAAGCCAAACTGATATTCTTATCTTAAGTTTGCATTTCCGACTTCTCAACTTTAAGTGTCTATAACTAGAAAAACAAAGCAGCTGGACTTTAATTCTTTTTAGCGACTTGTAGCACGTGAGCAGATCTTAAATCAAATGTCCATAGTGTTGTATTGTCTAAAATAAATTACATGCATTTTGTCGTGTTGCTACCCATTGATATGCTCTTAGTTCTGTACAACCTGTTTAATTATTCTTGTGTAGAGGGAAAACGCAATACAATCTATCATTTGTCCATAACAAAACAACAAAATACTTGCAATTCAGTTGTGTTCAAGACAAAATGTTATAATTACGCTCATTTGTCCGTTAGAAATAGCAGTGAAGCTGAGAAGAAAGAAACAAATTAATTTATTTCTTGCCTTTCGTAGTTTAACTTTCCGCTCACAAAAAAATAGCAACTCCTAGCATTATTGGCTTGATAGGTTGTGTTATATCAGAGGGGTTGTCTGGTGTTTGTACTTCTGCTGCTATGGTATTTGGAGGGTGCTACTGGTAAGTGCAACATCGATAAATATTGTAGTTGACCTGTGACTTAATTGTGGTATTGTGATGGCCCAAAATGCTCTCTATCCATAGGTACCCTCAAGAATGCAGGACAGAGTTTACTGTGATAGTGTGTGATCATGTGAGCTATTGGTGTATGTAAGGGGCAGCAATGCTTTCTCTAAAATATTTAGCGAACTATCTCTGAAAGTAAAGTATCATTTTAAAGTGAAAAGTTAAAAATTGGTTAAAGCTATACTCTCTCTGCCATCCCTCACAACAGAAATCTCTGGTCACTGCAACAACAACCCGTCGAAAGCAACAACAGGAAATGATCCGTAAAGCATTGCTAGCGGAGGAAGAACGGAAACGAGTAGGACGAGAGAACTTCCCAATGACTACTGTCCCTGTCACTCAACTGGCCGCATATGAACCGTCCCTTCACCACGGTGATGCAGAGCATGAGGAAGGTAAGGTCTTATGTGGTGACGATCACACTACAGGGGGAGTCGTTTGTTCCAGATTCTTCTGGAATTTTGTGAGGAAAAGCTGTTGGTATTCTGATTGTCATATTGTTGTTTTTTAATAACTGGTCATATCCTTCCTTGTGGATGTGATGATGTCAATATGTCTTTTAGGATGGGGTCTGGTAAGTTCCGGAAATAACATTTCTGTAAAAAAATAAAAGTTCAGGAAAAGTTTTTATTTCATTTGTAAGATAATGACAGGGGTACTCTGTGAAATAGTTTTGTGTAAATCACGAACACTTTTGAAGGAAGTTTCAAGCATTTTGCTGAAAGTTAATTAAAATGGTTGGAAAGAAATGAGTTCGTGTTGAGGTTCTCAGAAGATGGTTACCATCAGCTTGGACATAATGTTATGCAGAATTACAATTGTCATTGTACCTTGAAAAGTGAGATTGCCTTGATGCAAAATGGTGTGCGATGGGATATTGAAAATGGAGTTCGAGTTCTTTTTGAAAAAACTCTTAGTTACATAATGGAGAGGGGTTGCAGATTTTTGCTATGATCATGATTATATAATTTAGTAATATGTTATAATGATTAATGTGGTCTGGAAGTGGAAGCTACTAACCTTAATCACAAGATGGATGGTGCATCTGATTAGATGGAGGGCAGTGCTGACTGCATTTTGTAGGTTGGGGCTAGTATTCTAAAAACCCTTGCTCCAATCTTGTCTTCTGAGGTATCTCTTGTACCTGCTCTAACATAATATTGGATGATCAGCTGTTTACCAAGTGGATGTTTTCTCCCCCTTGCACTTACCTAGTCATGTAACAAACTATTACACCACCTGCAACATTTATTAATCAATACCCATTAGGCAGCTTTTTTTGTCAAAGGGAATTTAGTAGTTATGCTTATTTATTACTCTAGTGTTGTTGGCTATTGTAGTGCATAATTGTTGACCTTTATTATGGACTACCAATGAAAAACCTTTTTTTATAAAAGGGAATTTTGTAAATTTGCTTATTTACCCTACTGTTGATGACTATTATAGTGTGTTCCTTCAGCACTGCATTTACTAGTCAGAATCACTTCCCTGCGATTGAGATCCACACTGCTATTTTGACTCTATACTCTAAATCCTGTCTTGAGCGTCTTATAACTTGAGCCTCTGTATTGATATACATACTTGTTATTATTTGTCACACAATTGAATGAAGAAAAGGAGATAACTGCATGTGGTCTGAGCTTGACGCGTGCTCTAACCGCCAGAGTTTTGTTTTTGTCCAATCAAACGTTTTTGCCATCATGATGTCCTCAGCTCTCTCTTCGTACCTCGTAATCTTAATCTGACCTCACAGCTCTGTATATCCCATGTGCTTGAAAAATCAACCCCCGCGCCCTCCACCCTGCTAACTTCACTGATGATAGCATATTATTATTATTATTATTATGATTATGATTATTTTATGGAACCATCATATTTTTTGCCAGAGTCCCGGTGTATGACCTGTATGTCTCTGTATCTCCGCACTCGTTGCCCTGTCTTTGCCAATGTTTAGTTCTTTTGAGATGCTGACAGCACAGACACACTTGGAGTGGGGGTGGGATTACCTCCCCCCCTTAATCTCATCTGTGTTTTCAGCATTGTATCCCCCCCTAGGGCTGAAGTCTGGTCTTTTAGTGCCAGTTCTTCCAGCCAGTGCGGAGGTTAAAGGTCGTGTTCATGCATCGGGAGCCGAGTCTCCTACGTTTCTTGGTATTCATGTGTCAGTCTTTTTTTTTTGAGTTGATAATAATGATAAATATTGTAGTTGACCTGTGACGTAGCTGTGGTATTGTGATGGCCCAAAATGCTTCCTACCCGCTGGTCCCCTCAAGAATGTCGGACAGAACTTGCTGTGAGATCTTGTGAATGTGTGAGTGCCTTAGTGCAAGGTTTTTTGTTTAGGGCAACAATGCTTTTTCTGATATCTGTATATCGTTTCCGTCTTTGAATAGGGAAAAATTTAATGAAGTATGATTATCTTGAAATGATATGGTCCAGCATGATATCAAAATGTAGGAATTAAAATGATGACTAGTTACTTCAGCTCAGGACTTTCAAAGACAGATTGTTCACTATTACCTAAGTGTCTAGAGCTGTCTTTTGTCAGAACACAATTCTATGTGGAACTGGCTTATTTTGCCAAGATCTAAATTAGTGTGGATTAACTTTAAAGTTGAATTTTTTTTCCTCCTCTCAGTGAATTTGAGTGGATTGCAACAAGTTATTAACTGAATGATAAGCGAGTTTAACTGGTAGGTTTAGGCCTTGATGAACTATTCTGAAAGCGCACTTGGGCATTTGGAACCTGTTCTTGAATGTGTAGCAGGAGCACTCCAAGATGCAGTATTTTCTCGTAGGGGTGTAATAGACTATCAAAAATATCATCTTGATTTCTAAAAATACATTTTAACCAGTCATCATCGTCATTCAGCAATCAGCCAAATCAGGTTCTGGGGTGAGGGGGATATGTTCCAGATAAAGTCGCAAAGGGAATTTTACAACTTTGTTTGGTTATTTCTTTCCTAGTTTTTAATTGAAAAATAACAAATGCTCAGGTCGTGGCTCTGGTTAGGGTACTTTTTTACTTTCATTTTCTCAAAATGTTAAAAAAACCAGTAATACTGTAAATGTTTAACACTGCGGTCAACACATACTCTAGATGTAGTAACCACCAGGGTTGAAGATTTAGACTGGTTTAATGTAGCTGTGTTGATGGATTATTCTGCGTTCAACAAGCAAGACTCTGGTAAGTTTATTCGGATTGTTTACTTAAGAGCATTGGCTTGTGATACTGAGAAGTGAGTTAATCTTTATCATGTTGTAGTGACAAAAAAGTTCTTCTTGCGCTTTGTAAAACTGATATCAATTTCCGTAGTTATGGCTTTCGAACCATTATTGTAAAGATTTTCTTCAACCTTGTTGTGAGGAAGAGAAAGAGAATGTGTTCTTGTGTTGGAAAGTGTTGTGTGACTGATGCAAGTTCAACTATTGACTGTGCCGACACTTTTGAGGGGACCCCCCAATGTCCTCTATCTCCTCTGTTTGATTTCCTGGCTTCTAACAAAGTTAATACAAGACTGAGACTCATTTTCTGATCTTCTCTCTTACATTATACCTGCAATTTACCTGGCTACACTAAAGCTTTAGGTAGGTTTCTCAAGAATCTTGAACATAGCAAGAGTGATATTAACTTTTCTTTTCAATATCTGAGAAAACTAATATGTTAGAAATGAAAATATTTTTAGATATTGTTATCAATAGAGTGAGATGTCATATGTAATGATTTATTTCTTGAGATTTGATAATTATTGCGGCTTTATTAAAGGGAATCAGGCACAGTGTTTAATTACCGCAAATGCCACTTTCATATTTTCTTTATTAATTTGAGTGAATGAAGTAAGCTGTGCAGTTAAGTCTATGGCAAGGTGCTCATCATGTTTGTATATGGCCAGAGAATGATTCGTTGCAGTGATCACAGCTTACACCACCACCACCACCCAACCCACTCCTTCCCCAAACCCCCCCTGTCTCCCTGACCCACCCACCTGCCCACCCAACCACACCCATATCACCTGTTCTCTTGACCTCTTCTGTGGTCGTTCTGTCGATTCATCCGACCCACTGACCTCTGACCTTCTTGACACGGCCCGGTCCCAGGGGGCACTGGACTTCGGCACTCACAAGCGGCCATGGTACCCTGTTGGGGCCACTAGCAACAAGGTTTTCTCACAGACTAAGATTCTGGCAATCAGATGGGAATAGGTGTCAGTAATTCTAGACAAGAATTTTTCGTCCTGTTTCAGTAATTCACGTCTCGTCAAAATATTGTTTTTTCAAAATATCAATTGCAATATGAATGGCTAATCTCTTGTCAATTTGCCGACATGTTGTACTCAGCAAAAGTTTTTTCGACTTGGGAATAATGAGATGGAATGGGCTCTTATTCATTTCTATCATAAAAGTTTGGGTAGACGAGGACTAGATATTTAAGCTGGCTAAGAGAGATGGCATTAAGGGATTAAGGGAAAGTATATGTGACAAATCTCTGAAGATGACTGAAATAAAGAAAGATATTTTCAAAGAAAATAATTTGCTGTATATTTTTGGAAATGACAGAGCAAAAAAAACCCCCAAAAAACATTTTAATGAAAAGAAGTGTTGATAAATTTTTGAAAGAGATAGAAAGAAAGAAAACTGTTTTGATATAAAACACTGCTGTGAATCCTGAAAGGGAAAGAGGGTCTTAGGGGAAAGCTAAATCATTACAAATGCAACAAAATATTTTTAAAATAAAGATGATAAAGAAAATGATTGACATACAATCATATAGCCTTTCAGATGATAGTATGATAATTAACAGTTGCTTTGAACTTAATCAGTGGGAAGTAGCTTTTTAAAAATTGTTTAAATCAGAAATAGATTTGTATTTAACTTCAGCAGTGGGGAATAGCTTTTTTGTGGAGCTGATGGATCAGCAAAAGTTCTCGTGAGAAAACCTGTATGTGTGTGTGTGTGCCTGTGCGTCCTGATTGGGTCGCCGGCTGAGCGTGTTTCACTTTGCCGTCCCCCTGGTGCCGGGGCGCGTTCCCCCCCCCCCTCGGGCTTGCATAACTCTTGTGTGCACTTGTTCTGCTTGTGTGGTGGACCTCTCTGGGCTCACAGTGGCGCAGGAGGAGATGGCGCTGGCTGCTCGCCGCGTGTCCTTGGCCCCGACCAATCGGGCAAATAACCAGAGCCGCAGCATGTCCTGGCGCAACGGGAGCCTGCACTGGGGGCGGCTGGCGGCCGAAGGTAGTATGCCCACGCGTGTGGCTGCTGATGTTGTTTGGTTCTTGTCCCAGTTTCGTAATCCTCCATGTTGTAGTTGGTTGTTTTTTTCGTTCTTGTTCTTGTTTTGTCACCATGGAGACTAGAGACGTACTATTTTTTATTTTCATTGGTTCATATTCATATGTCAGGATTTTCTTGTTTATTTCGGCGTTTAACTGCTCTGGCTGAGAACTCTTATCTAATGAATTATTGCTTTAGTTATGAAAATGTTAGTATATGTTAAGGAAATGTATGTCTTAAGAACCTAAATTATGCATCAGCCTCATTTTATTATGACCATTTATTGTTTATCTTAAAGCTTCAGTCAACTCTTCAGCACCCCTGGCTTTATTTCATGTCAGCCGTGATCTTCGCTTTTACTTTCATCCAGCTTCACGTATACCTTCCCTCAAGGCTGCAGTTCTTTGCTACATATTTTTGTTTTGCTTAGAGCTGCTGAATAGGTAGAAAGAAAGCTTATTGTCTCAATGTTCCGAACCCAATTGCTTAGACTTTTGTGTATGCCATTTGATTATTAGTTTTCAAGTAATGATTTTGTTCGCCTTCCTCACTTGAACCACACCTTTTATCTGTCTGTGCCTCTCTTTCTCCTTGTCTTCCCCGTCTATCTCCCTCCTCCTTTCTCCAGTCTTTCACCCCTTTCCCAGTCTTTCCCCCCCCCCCCCCCCGACCCCATTCTCTTGTTTCTTCCCCACCCCACCCCTGTCTCTCTCCTCTCTATTTTTTCCTTTTCGTCTGACCTCTCACTTTCTTCACTGTGATTCCTATACCTCTCTCCTTCCCCATCGTCTTTTCTCAACCTTTCAGTTTCTTTTTTAATATCCTTCCTTTTTTTTTCGATTTGCAAGTGAAAACAAGTTGTTATAAAAACTAGTGTGCCATTTTTACATTGACTTGGAACTAATTGTTTGCATTATGGGAATGCACTGTCTTAACAATAGTGGCTAGCAAACCATGTACTCTTAGTTGTGTGTTTTGGAATTTTAGTTTGGTGCATGAAATTATTCTAACTCAATTACGCTTGTGTAAATTGAAGATATTTAGGGATATGTGAATTGGATGTTGTTAAAAAAGGAATCATGTTTATTGAAGGAGGCCTCCAAAGTTTGAAAGTATTTCCAAATGATAGTCCACGCTGAGAAGAAATCATTAGTGGAGCTGTTCTTTCTCTTTGAAAACAGCATGTTATAGATAGGAGTATTAAGAGATAATTTTTGATAAATTTATTTATAAAATGATATAAGGTACATGACCATCTAGTAAGCAATCTATATTCTCTGCCTGTGCACACACTCAGTTCAAAGAAGACTCTCTAAACCTATTTGTATAAAGAACATTTCTAACTCTTTGTCTTGTCAAATTTTTATTAGTGGGTTCTGCTCTATGTGGCTGCACCTTTCTTCTTCTATTTTGATGCTATTGTGTAGTTCTTCTTCCTGTCGCAAAATCGATCTAGTATGAATCAATTTTGACTCCTTCTTTTGAGTGAATGGAAGTGTCGCTTTACAGGTATTCCTTCCATACATTTACTTGTTTGCTGTAAGTCTCTCTGTTGTCACTATGAGGTCTTGTGTCTAGTCTCTGGTGGCATCTTTCCCCTCTCTGCTTGGTCTTCCTCTTCCCCTTTGTCCTTCTACCTTGCCTCTCGAGGACTTTTAAAAGAAAAAAATTCTTAGCACTCATGTCTATAGATGTGGCCCTTGTAGAGTAGTTTCTGCCTTTGGCTGTTAGCCTGTGAGTTGACATTACCTCTTGGCTCAGTGTTCGCTGTAACTGTTTTTCTATTTACATAAAGCAGTATAGAAGCTGTTTCCATTTTGAGCTGTGTTTGTTATACACTGTTGCAGATGTGTCTGTCTAGCCTGTGTATGTGTGTCTGCGAATGCGTTGTGCAAAGCGTTACCTCCAGTGCAGTAGTCGTCAAAAGAAGGACATTATTATTGTCTCTACGGAAATTATTATTACTATTACTATTACTATTATTATTATTATTATTGTTATCTTTATTATTATTATCATTGTCATTATTATTAGTATCATTATTATTAGTATCATTATCATTATTATTATTATTATTATTATTATTATTATTATTATTATTATAATTATTACTATTATTATTATAAGTATTTTAAAAATGATATTAGCATTAATACTGTTATTTCTGCTAATTTGTCATGTTTTTTGTATTGTTATTTGAAGATTTTTTAAAATCATTGTCATATTATTGTTGTTAAATGATTGTTATAGTTGTTATTATTATTATTATTATTATTATTTTTATAATCGTTATCATCATCATTATAATTGATATTGATATAATTATTGTTGTCATTGCTGTTGTTGTAGTTTGGTTCTGTTACCCAAGAGAGTCCTGAGCTGAATGAGGTGTTTTTAATCTCTTCTCATAAGTCATGACAGGCTGCAGTAGAAGTCTGCAGAGTCTTGCTCTCCTGTCTTGTTGAGTTGGATTTTCTTCTTACTCATAAATGTATCCTCTTGCTTTAATGTAATAGCAGTCACTTTGCTGGTGTGTGTGCTCTCGTATGGTCTGCTTCTTCTACTCCTTGATAAGTATTCATGCTGTCCTGTATTCTGCTGCGCTGTGCTTTTTGTTGGTATACATGGCTGATATGAAGATGTCAGCAGCACAATCACGCGGGCTCGGTCTTTTGCGATTCTGCTTTTGTTCCAAACACTCTAATGTTAGTCATTGTGCTGGTATCCATCATCAATTTTTTCGTCCATCTTCTTTGTGTTACTCTTTGTATATATTGGTAGTTTGAAATTCTGAGGATGGGAGGGGTGTGGGGGTGTGGTGAAAGTGGCTGGAGGGGTGGGGGGGGGGGAGTTATGTCAGTGCCGTCTTAGAGGAAGGGAGGTTGGGCTTACATCTTTGTTTAGGTCGGGGGGGGGGGGGTGTAGGAGATCTGTCGCGTGACGCGCGTTGCATCCCTTGCAGGAGACGAAGATCGTCTGGAGCACAGCCACCACCTGCAGACTGCGCAGGCTGTCTTCCCATCATGCATCTGTGCTGCGGTGCTTCCTGTACTGCATCTTTTGGATGACCATGACGTGAATAATGATGGCGTGTCAGGTGAGTTGATTGTTTGGTGAAGAAAGGATATTTTGTTGTTGTGTGTTTGTGGTAATTTGTGTGTGTATGTGTATATTATTATATGTTTGTAAATGTGAGAGAGAGATAGGGAAGGAGGGAGGGAGAGAGAGAGAGAGAGAGAGAGAGAGAGAGAGAGAGAGAGAGAGAGAGAGACAGAGAGAGAGACAGAGAGAGAGACAGAGAGACAGACAGACAGACAGACAGACAGACAGACAGACAGACAGACAGACAGAGAGAGACAGAGAGAGACAGAGAGAGACAAAGATAGAGAGAGTCAGACAGACAGACAGACAGATGGATAGACAGGGTTTTGCGTGTCTGGAACATTTTTCTTGGGTACTTAACTTCTTCTCAGTATTCCTTAAATGAGCACTTCACCCACTCTCTGTATTCCTGTTGTTGTTTCAGTGGCTGAAGTGGCAAACAAAGTCATCTGGGACTGTATTGTGGATGAGCCGATTCTGTTCTTGCGACATTTCCTGGAGAAACTCACCCACAAAGACCGACAGGTGAGCAGGAAATTGCTGACCTGGATTGTTAGTGGATCAACTTGTGTTTGTATTTTTCAATTCATCCAGACCCCATTGAAGATTTTGAGATGAAAGGTTTTTATTTGTATGTCGTATTAACTCTGAAGGGTTTTCGTACAATGCCGGAGAACCTAAGAGTGCCAGACATATCACTAAACTAGTCATGGAATCAAAATTATGAAAGCAGTTTTGATAATCCTTTTTGCACACTGCAGGCCTACTGCCATCATCGTTTATAAAAATATGATGTGTGTATATGTGTGTGTGTGTGCATACATGCGTCCGTGAGCATGTGCATGCCAGCGTGAGTCTGTGCGTGCGTGTGTGAGTGTACGTATGTGCATGCGGGTGTGTAAGTGTGGGCGCGTGTTTGTGAGTGGGTGTGTGCTTGAGTGTGTGTAGACTGTAGCAGAAAACATCCTTGAGGAAAGGAAATGCAAGGAATCTGGCTGAGCCTCTGACAGCTGCTCACTAGCACAACGGGGCTCGACCGTAAGCCACCGACAGTGGCTTGTTGTAGGAGATAAGAGTGAAATACTTTCTGGTTCCTGGTTCCTGGAGGTGTTATCTCTGACTCTGAGGTACTCGGAGATTGACGTGTAATGACACTCCATCCTTCTCGGTCATGAGCTGCCGTTGCACATTCTGCTACATCTAGGCTAGTCCATGTTTTAATGTTGTCGATCCATGTTACTCTTTGTCTTCCCCTGGCTCTCCTGCCCCGTATCCTTCCTTCAAGTACCTCTTTCACAATGGTCTCAAGTCGTTTTAAGTGGCCAAAGTATTGTATTTTTCTACATTTTATTCAGCAGGGTTTATCTTTTGTAGAGAATCTGACACCCCTCTTTGTTTGTCTTTCTTGCTTTCCAACTTATTCTAGCCTTTCTAATGTAGTTTGTGTTGTGAATGTCGTGCTATTTTTGTGTTACAGGAGGAGCTGATGTTTCTGCTGAGGAAACTGATCATCTACTTCCCTCGTATGCCTGCTCAAGCCGCTCACTCTATCTTCAACTATCTGGTGAGGGAAGGCGTGCTTGATTGTCTCTTGCTTTTTGTTGCTGCTGAGAAAATAAACAATCTCAAAATCATTTTAACTTTTGTCCTTTGGAAATTATTAGTAGAAAAAAATTACTAAGTCAGAAATCTCACAGTCATTTTGATGTGGACTTGATCTTAGAAAGAAGACAATTTTTCTTCAAGAAAAACTTGTGAGCAGCCAAGATGAGAAAGTCAACAACTCTAATCTTCTGTACTTATATGACCTGTTGGTATTGCAAGTGCCATAAAACTTACTAAAACTATATGTATTTTCACCTTTGCATCTTCAGATTAGCTACATGGATACATGTCTAAAAAAAATGAGCCCTTGAAGTCATATCGACTGAAAACTCCACCATAAGTCATTTTATAAAGTGACGTTCGACGGAGTTTTACACTGAGCAGTCGGTATAAGTATCCTAACAATTCCTGTCAGAGATACTGTATTTTTTGCGTCCACAAATTTGCTACATAGATACATGTCTAAAAAAATTTTAAGTTATGTGTAGTATCCTAACTAGTCTTGTCAAATATGCTGTCTCTTCTACATTTACAGATTGGCTACATCATGTTCTACGTGCGTTCCCCTTGTGAAGGAGGTCAAGACGCTATCTCTGGGGCTCTGTCTCTGCTGTGGCTGGTCAGTTTGTCTACATTATAGCCTCCTCAATCCTATATGTGGTGCAGTTTGTGGTTTGTCGGCTTGAGATTCTAGATAGAGGGGGTGAGGTGGGGGGGATGAGGGGGATTGGGGAAGATGGGGGTGAGACGGGGGAGGGGGGGGGGAATGTGTGTGGATGGCATTGGGGGTTGGGGGTTGGGAAGCTCCTGTACTGTCAAACATTACAGCCACCTATTGTCTAGGAGGAAAGTAATCATCTTGGTCAGTGTCATTGTAATATAGAAAAATGCAAGTGGGGAAGTGGTTCTTTGTACAGGTGATTGTCTTTGACCAGTGGTCATTAGAGCAGGTTAGACTGTATTGTCATTTCTTTCTTGTACAAATCTGAATGATCTGGACAAATATGAGAGCCTGAGTTTTAAGGAAATGTGGAAGATTTCTTGATCAAGGTTGAGGGATACTGGTCGCATTTGTTTTTTATTCTGTCTGTGGACAAATATTTTGTATTCTGCAGCACCAGAAAATAAGCTGTCATGTGTAGACGTGTTTCTGTTCCACACAAGTGCAGGTATTGAAAAGAAAGAGTGGGATGTTGATAAAGAAATGTGTTGCTGATCTTGATTTTTATAAAAATTTAATTACTTAACAAAATGTAACCTTATGTTTTATATCATGTCTGCTCTGATGTTTTCTTCTTCTCATTGACTTGCCTGTTAGAAATTTTACTTCACTAGCATGATATTCTGTATTTTATCCTTTAAAAATTGCACAGTTGTATGGAATACTTTGTCACACATTTTATGGAGTTAGATTATAAAACTTTCTTTGGTACTTAACAGACAATAAATACGAGTAAATGTAGATGTTTTACATCCCATTGACAGTATGTAGATCATTCTGGATGCAGGCTGCTATAACATTGCTTGTTATTGTCAGCGCGGGCAGAGAGGGATACAACATCCAATTAGAAAGATGGAGGTACTCAATAAGTGTTCTCGTCGTTCACTCGTGAATCTAACTCACATCGTCTGTGTGTGGCATTGAAGCTCCTAACCACTCCATCAAAGATGCCAGTTTAATGGACTGAACTTTAATAACCGTGGTAAAGAATCGTGAGTTTCTTGCTAAGGCAGGTACATTGATCCAATGTTCTAAGTTTATAATTTTTTTCCCTTTATTTGTCTGACACAGTGCATTCCCAGTGTGGAGGGCATTTACTTCAAGGATCTGAAACAGACACTGAAGAAAGAGCAATGTGATGTAAGGATTTGAATGATTGTGTTGTTAAGATATATGCATTGAAAAAACAACATTTTTTTCATTCTTGTATTTTCACAGGAATCATTTCAATTGGGATTGACTATAGAATTGAATTTATGCAAAGGAAGGGAGTAGAATTAAAGAATGTTTCAACATGGCTAAAAAGCCCAGTTGTATGAGAGCTACAAAAATGGAAATTAAAGTCTTGAATGCCCACTGTTTGCTTATTTCTAAACAAAGGTACACTTAAGTCTTTTCTGCCTGAAGTTTTTAAAAGAGAAGATGTTTACATTTTGTTGTTAATCTTTGTGTTACATATTTGTAAAGGATCAAGTAGTGTTATGTATTTGTGAAGTACCAAATTGTATTATGTCTTTGTGAAGGTTCAAGTGGTCCAATGTATTTGTGAAGGACCAAATTATGTAGGGTTATGAATTTGTGAAGGTTTATGAAGGTTTAAGTGGGATTATGCATTTGTGAAGGAGCAAGTATATAGGGTTATGAATTTGTGAAGGACTAAGTAGTGTTATGTGTTTTTGAAGAACCAATTGTGAGGCGTACTGACAAACTCAGTTACTTCTCCCAATCTGCAGATGGAGTTATTGGCCAAAAATTGACACTAGGGTCAGATTTGTAGATTTTCTTTGGATGCCATATTCTTTTAGTTTAGCTTGCCTTTTATTTTTCCATACTTATAAATTGTAAAAACTTCACGTATGAGATGAGTGTGATGTGTCCATTTCCATAGCGCTCAAATCCGAGAAGTAACTCATTTTGTCAGCACGCTTCACAATTAGTGACGTATTTGTGAAGGTTTAAGTGGTATTATGTTTTTGTGAAGGAGCAAGTATAAAGGGTTATGTATTTGTGAAGGACCAAGTAGTGTTATGTAAAAATGAAAAACCAATTAGTGACATATTTGTGAACGTTCAGGTGGTCTTACGTATTTCTGAAGAATGAAGTAGTGACATATCTGCAAAGGACCAAGTACGTAGTGTTGTGTATTTGTAAGGTTTTTGTGGTGTGTTGATTTAGCCTTGTGTTTTTCCCACAGCCATACTTGCTGGTGTCTGCCAGTGTTGCCAGTGCAAAGAAGATCCTGGTGCACGGACCTGATCTGTCCAGCATCCCGTCACAGCTGCCTATTCATGAGGTGAGAGGAGTCGTTTTATGATTTGATAAAAAACCCATAGTGCTTTTGTCTATAAGACTTGTAGACTTTTGATGTGTAGTGGGGGGGGGATTAAAATTTGTTGTTTTGAAGTGCAAATAAGAAAGCTCAATGCACAAGATTTAAAGTTTTGATTAATGGGATCATATTAAAATTTTTTATATATTTTATACCATCGCTGCTTGTTGTGGCTAAACTCATTCCATGCCAGTCCATGATGTACCATTGATATAGATCAATCTATGATGGGCTGTTGGTATGCAGCCTATCAGTGGGTGGTTGGCAGGTGCTCTGGTGTGGTTTGCTCCTTCTTTCCTATCAAACATCTATCATCCTGGTCTCTCCTCCTTCTTTTTTATGTTTGTTATTCTCTTGTAACACCTCTTATCCTCGGCACTTATATGACTTTATTGTGTTACGAGTGCCGTAAAACTGTTACTAAAACTAAGCAGCCTATCATTCTTTGTTTCACACCTCATTTAATTTCAGTTTGGTCACTTTTTCATAATCCTTGTTTACTTTCGTTCATTTCAGTATATGATATGAGCACACTTGATACAATATAAGCAAAATGATATTCCTCAAAATGAGCTTCCTGATGGGTCTCTGGGCCAAACAAAAATTTGCTTGACTCTGACAAGGAAAAATCTGACCCTGGCGTAGAGTGAGATAATGCAACATTTCCTTCTCGTTGTGTTGGTCAATTTCTCAGGTGTATTATCAACACTCTTAGTCGTCACCATGTGAGTAGATAGAGGGCGCTCTGTCACTAAGCGCTGGTCTTACTTATTTTCAGTGTTACATTTGTCCTTATCTGTTCCTACTTAAATGTGACTTTGATTGTTCTGACTGAATGTAAAATTGAATCAACCCTGATCAGCTTTGACCTCTTGACCTCCGGTGTCTACAGGACACTCAGTTCTTTCAGATACTGCAGGAGAGCTTGGAGTTCTTCAACATTCCGGAAGAACAGCACGACTCACACTTCTTGGTGGACACTAAGACTCGTGAGGAATTTTGATTTATTTTGCCATTTCATAGGAGAATTCAACTTAATTTTATTCCTTTTTTTATGCTGTCATAGTTTCTGAGAGAAAGAAAAATATTCAGTATAATTAATTCCAGTTGTTAAACTTGTTTTACTTTGACCTGGAGTTGAAAACCTCTTTGCAGTATGAAAGGAACTAATATCATTGTGTGCTATGTTAGAATAGATTAACTCTTTATCTCCTGGGGCCTTCTTTTGGTACGAAGTCTAAAAGTGACATATATGCCACTAAATTGGTCATTAAATCAAAACAAATGAACCTACTTTGATAGTTCTTCACCTAATGAAAGAACTCGCTGTAAAAGAGGCGTGTTTTCGTCTATTGCTAAAAACAAATTTTATATTGAAGTCGAAAACGAATATGCCCCAAGCTGCTGTTAGCGGCTCATGGACACAGTCGTTCTGACTGCGAGCCGCTGGCAGCGGCTTGCCAGAGTTAAGGAGTTAAGGCCTTAAACACCGGATACAATACCTCCCTACTTACCTACCTACCTTCTCAGATCAAATGCACAATAGCACTTCGTACGTGCGAGACTTCTACTTCTTCCGGAGGAACTTCTACCCACAGCTGAGCCTGGTGCACATGAACCCTGACGATGCCAAACTGGCTCTGCAGAAGAGGGTCAGTCATTGTGGTTTGGGTATTTTGTTTTGTTTTTTGTCTTTTACAACATCTGACAAAGTGAGTTGTTTCTCGCAATCCACAAATGAAGATATTGGCCCGATATTGACATGAGGGTCAAATTTGTAGATTTTCTATTGATGCCATATTCTTTAACTAAAACCTGTCTTTTATTATTTTATACTTATTAATTGTAAAAATTTCACCTATAAGCGTGATGTATCTATTTCCTTAAGACTTGAATCCAAGAAGTGACTCATTTTTGTCGGCATGCTTCACATTTATTTTTGTGTGTGTCTGTTTTTTTTACTGATAGTTCTTTGTCTAATGAAAGAACTCCCGCTAAAAGACAATCACTGTGACTGCTGATCTTATTTGCTGAAAATACAATGAAAAGAAGGAGGAGAGATTAGGTTGGTAGATGTTTGAAAGGAAAGAAGGAACTAACCACACGAGAGCACACACCACCCAACCACACCTGAGAGGGAAGACTCACTAAAAGGCAAAGGCATACCAAAAGTAACACATGTCGGACACCTTCCTACATAACAATACTCTTTCTTGTGAATAAAGTATAAACAGTGATTGTCTTTTTGTGTGTGCGTTCTTTTTCAGATAATGAGTTTGTAAACATTTGAAAGAGTCGTTGAACATTGAATGACCCAGTATGAATGAAATGTTGATTTAAATCTTATTTTATTGTGAAAGGCCTAAAGTCAGCTGGAAGTGGGCGCTATAGAAATGATCTTTATTATAATAATAGTCATTATTATAATTATAATTAATTATAATTATTATTACTAATATTGTTATTGTTATTGTTATTATTATTGTTATTATTATTATTATTATTATTATTATTATTATTATTATTATTATTATTATTATTATTATTATTATTATTATACTCCCTAATATGTGTCTCTTATTTGACCTATTTGTGTTGCAAGTGCTGTAAAACTCTTGCTAAAACTAAACTAAAACTGCCCACAGGTGTTCATGCTGAAGTCTGTGGAGGTGGGCAAGGTGTTGCTGACCAATGCAGTCATGGAGAGCACTCCTCCGCACCAGGTCTGAACTCTTTCTGTCCAGAGAGTTTGGCTGGCTTTCTGGCTGACTTTCTGTCTGTCTGTCTCTCTGTCTCTTTCTCTCTCTCTCTCTCTCTCTCTCTCTCTCTCTCTCTCTCTCTCTCTCTCTCTCTCTCTCGCTCTCTCTCTCTCTCCCCCCCTCTCCCCCTTCCCCCTTCTCTCTCTCTCTCTCTCTCTCTCTCTCTCTCTCTCTATTTATCTATTTATATCTCTATCTCTTTCTCTCTTTCTTTCTCTCTCTCTCTCTCTGTCTCTATTTATCTCTCTCTCTCTCTCTCTCTCTCTCTCTCTCTCTCTCTCTCTCTCTCTCTCTCTCTCTCTCTCTCTCTCACCTCAACCTCGGGGGGGGGGGAGGAGTGGGGATAAGGTTGTTTTGGCTCACTTTAGTGTGAACTGGTGTCTGTGGTGTACTACAGCTGTATGCTGAAGACCCAAGTTCTATTTCCGTGTGGAGATAATTTGTTTCAAGTATCTTGGTCTTTCTGCTGGGATGTATCATTCTGAGTTAGGGGTTGGCCCTTGCCAACAGGGTTTGATCCAGCCTCCTAGATGATCTAAATTGTGTCCTTACGAGTACAAAACACCTTCATTAAAAACTCTCCACAAAAAACCCCCCCAAAACCCCCCCACAAACAGAGGCAAAAAAGCTTTGAACTTTTTCTTCCTTTTCTTCTCAATTCCCTAGTTTAGTCTGCTGTTTTTTAAAATCTAGTTTCCCTCTACATCTTTCATGTCCTTTCCTAGAGGCATGAATGGTGAACCCAACTTTGTTACTGTCATTCTGTAGTCTTTTTCTATCTGTCTTGGTTTGTTTTTTTTCAAGCTCTTTGTCTTTTTTTTACCCAAACTGGCATACAGGCGTTTGTGGTGTCATGGTTTGGCTCATAGCCGTGGGAAAAAGCCATGTTTCGATACCCATATGGGTATAATATTTTATGAAGCATCTTTCACCTTTCTGCTGGGAAGTATAATCCCACACAGCTTGGCTTGGCCCTGACAACGGGGTCAAAGCTACCTACCTCCTAAGTTGTTTAACTTGTGTTGATAGCATTTGCGACATGCCAGCAACAATCTCTACTCTGGTTTTGATGAGACTAATTTTATTCAGGCTGTGCTGTCTATACCTGTTGTGCTTCTTCCCCTAGCAATAATTACATCTACAGTGCCGTTATGCTTCTTTTCTTGGTTAACCTCAGTGCTTTAGTTGCAAAGCTAGTTAGATATTTTGGTTAAACTAAGCAACAGACAGGCATTGGCTGATTTTTCATGTTGGTACAATATTCCTACCTGCTTTGCTAGTGCTTTGCGGGTAGTTGGAGGGCGCCATTGGTAGGTTCTACTTCTTTTCTTTCCCGCTGTTGTTTTCTGACTGCCCATCTCGCTTTTCTATCTGCTCTAGATGGCTGTTACTATGTTGGTGTGCTTTTCTTTACTCAAACTCAAAGTTTGATGGAGCTTTGCCCCTTTTGCTACTCTAAAAATCAACGTGAATATCAGGATGCTTTTGTAATGTTATTACGTTCCTTCTACATAATATTTTTGAGGTACAGTCGAACCTACTCTGATGACCACCTGTCCATAACAACTACCTGAACAAATGACCACTTTCCACTTCTCCCCTTGTGTTGTTTCTATATTATAGTGACACTGTCCAAGAAGACCACTTGTCTAAGATGACCACTTTTTTCCCTTGACAATGGGTGGTTTTCTTGATCAGGTTCGACTGTATTTACTTGCAGTATTAATTACTCTTTCAGCTTTTTGTTAGTTTTAACACTAATAAAGACTTAGTGCTGTTAACTTAATGCAACAACTTGAAACATTTCTGCTTTGTCTCATGTCATCAAATACTCATGTTATTAATTAATGCACCATTGAGAGCCATGGTCATCCTACTAAATTCTCCTCTTTTGTTCCTTTGTTTGGACTTTTCTCACTTGATATATTTCATCAACTACCCCGGTCCCCTCTCAGAGTGTTCTATCGCCAACATTGTTTACTGGGGCTGACCTGACGCGAAGGAAATCTGTATAAATTGTATCTAAATAGTTTTTGTAAAAAGCTACGAGTGGATGTGCTTGTTCAGAGGGTTCTTAACATAAAATGATTTTCATTTCCTACTAGCTATGATTATAGTGGATTGGTTTTTGAACAGGATTACAAAAATACTTTGTAATTATTTAAGGTATACCTTAAAGTAAGAATGTTATTTTGGTAAACTAGGATTATAATTTGCTGAAATTTTGGCTTCTGCCCAAGTTCTCTTTACCTGAAAAGATGGAGGTCCTTTCAAATTAAAAGCTTCATGGGTTGAAGAAAAATCCCAGAGGCCAAGACAAAACTACCTGGTAATGGTACTGATGGATGGCGGATATTGCAGTAGCCAAAATGAATTATCTTAAATTTTCTCAGCCAAATTATTTAATAGCTTTGGGCAAGGCAGGTCAAACGTAAACAAAACAAAAAGGGAATTTTATTATAACATTCGTTTGGTATGGAAATGACAATTTTTTTTAAATCTAGGATTTTTTTGGTGTCATTCATGTTAATCACTCTTAGAGGGGGCCAATGCACTTTTGATTTTTGGTTTACTTAACAGCTTGATTTTCTCTTATGCTTTCTTTTGAATATTCTTTATATTAACCATTTGTTTTCTTTTGTCTTAAAAGTATTCAATTTCATGTTTGCTGTCGTTACTTTTAAAAAATCACCAATGTAAGTATGTAATATCTAGATCTAAAAAAAAAACCCAGTTAAAGAGAGCTGAAAATGAGGTAGCACTTTCATATATTGATTATTGAAATTAATGTGTTTTTTTTTTTTCAGCACAAAGCTACTGTAAAATAGATTGCTACAGGTTTCATATTAATTTGGATTTCGGTTTGAAAGATTTGCACAATGCATTGGGGCTGATCCGAAGCAGAAATCTGGATATTTTATCCAAATAAATTTTGTAAAGAGCTCGGAGTGAATGTTGTTTGACAGATGATCACAGAAAAAGAAATGTCTTTACATTCATTTTTTGTTTTCTATATCTTTAAACAAAAAAATTTTCCTAAATTTTCACAAGGTGCTTACTCATAAATTTAACAATTTGTTTTTCTTAATTTGTTCAGCCATTTTTTAAGGTTTGTTTTTCTGGATTTTTTAAAGTACATTTTTCCTCCCATCGTTGGCTTGAAATTTCTTGTGTGTCTATTCCATCTTTTTGGTGGTGGGTCTTTTCCCTCTGTGTTGCCGGACAAAAAATGTGTCAGGACTTGACAGAAATGTTGTGAAAAATACTCGCTTTCCAAATCTAAAAAAAAGAGAATCCAAAATGCTTCACAAGACAATAGCAGCTGTGAACTTTCTCATATTGTTCAGCACATCTGCTTTTGTCTTCTTTGTGTTGTTTTAATTGTTCCAATTTCATTTTTACTAATTATTCCTATTGAAATACCTCTCTCGTTACCTACGAGCTAACACTTTATTTATGGGTACGCCGATCATAATTTGTTTAAGTCACATGTGCCACACGTATAAATAGATGCCCCTGTCATATATGTACATACCACTTACTGGAAAAAAAAGTTCCCATACTTTTTTTGTACAATGGTAAGGCCTGGTTCCAGCTTTAAGAGATTCTGTGCTTCCTAGAAGTATTTACAGGCACAAGCTCTCAAGGGAGGGGAGGGGCTACAGCGGATGGCTATCTCGCTTATTTGAGGACCAAATTTCATCACCAGCAACAATTTATTCCATTTACTATAAATTCAACAGATGATTTTATGCTGTAACATCTTCTCTTCGTTCTGTGAAAATTTTATGAATATTGAATAAAAAATGGCAAAAAAAGTAGCCTTCATTGAAAAACAGCATTTTTGGAAAATGGATGATAAAGGGAAAAAAGAGAGATGATCTGGAGGTGATGACTACCCTCTAAAATGTGTGATATGTAACAAAATAAGTTTTTTAGGAGGTACTTATGGGATGAATAGTTGTAAGAAAAGCTGAAGAAGTCAAAAAGCTCACTCACATCTCAGTATTGATTATTTTGACCCAAATAGAACTTTCAGCTGCCACCCCTCCTCTAAAATTAATTACTGTGACCTGTTTGGAACTTCTGATAGTTTTTACTTGAATGGACTATTGTTTGAGGATTTGATTTTGGACTTTTGTAGTTTAGTCTCATTTAGTTTAAAGGCACAATTTTGGTTATAATTAGAGGGTACATCCGATTCAGATCATTATTCTTCGTTGAGCTGACTTATCAGCTTCTTATGGCTAGGGTCACGTGTCATATGTGCAAAAGTCAATCTCATAACTGTTTTGTTTCTTTAACTTTATTTCAGTTTCATGGTTTTCATTATTCTAATCTGATGATTTGAAATAATGCATAATTTTACATTTTCATCTGTTGGTGACAGACTTTCTTCTTTGAATGTTTGCCTTTCATTCCCCCAAAATGGATTCATTTATATTTTGGATTAGTTTCTGGGACATTTTCCTCCTCGGTGGCTGGGCGCTTGCCTCAATTGGGGGTGCCACTTTCTTGGGGTGCTTGAGGAATTCCTCATGATGTTTGTATTCAGCGGCTCTGAACTGACCTAATAGTGTTAATAATGTCATTATACAAGTGCTGAAATGAACAAAACAAACAACCATTTTATAGTCATCTTTGTGGAAATGATATCAGCTTCTTTTTTTGTCCAATAGCCATTAGCTTTGTTGTTTTAAAAACTCTCCCTTATGCTGTGGAATGATCTTGTTGTCAGAACATTGCTGTTGAGTTGTGAAATAAGTATTTTTTAAAGAGTCAGTCTATTATGGCCAAGAATTTATCATTTTCAGAAACTCCTTTATGTCAGGGAACGTGCGGCATTGAGAAATAAACCAGTAAGTCGAGGAGCACACTTTCACTTTTAGAAATGGTACATTGAGTCTGGGAATTATTTATTATAGTAGTGACTCAAGAGATAGTTCAATAAGTCGGGGGAAAAACTTAACCCTTCATAAGTGGCACCCCTAGTCTCTGTTTCCTGGTGGCGGGATTTTTCTCCACATTCCTGGTGGCTGGGTGTTTGTCGTTTTAACTCGCTGCTTGCCAATTTTGTTCTCTTTTTCTGTGTTCCACCCATCGGAATGGGCTGTTTTTCTCTTCTAACCTTGCATGCCCTGTGTGACTGCTTCCCATGGCCTGAGCTCTCGTTGCCTGTCGGAGGAAGTGGGTCACACAGGGCGCGGGGATCAGCTCTGGCTCACGTTTGCAGATGCAGAATCACGTGAGCTTTCTACACGAGGAGTTGAGCAAACTGCCGTCTTTTCCACGCAAGGCACTGGAGACAGAGTTTGATATGTACTCGGGAGCCTGGGGCAAGGTAAGCAAGTATTGTAATCTTTTTTGTTGTTTTTGTTTTTGACGAATAAAAATGTTGTTTTTTTTGGTTGAAAGTCCAATTAATGATTTTTTGGGTGTGTGTTTGAAGTATAGTATTGTACACGTTTGTGTGTGTGAGTGTGTGTGTGTGTGTGTGTGTGTGTGTGTGTGTGTAGGGGGGGGGGGGGGGGGGTGGAGTATGGTAATTGTATTATTTGTGGGTTTTTTTTAAAGTGTTGTGTGGGTGGTTGGCGGGTGCTCTGTTGTGGTATGCTCCTTCTTTCCTATCAAACATCTATCGTCCTGATCTCTCCTCCTTCTTTTTTGTGTTTGTTACTCTCTCGAAGTCCAACCCCTCGTCCACGCCATGGGAGATGGAAACAGGACAAAGTAGGGGATAGCTGGGTCTGGGTGAAGTACGGTGTGACTTTATGTCACTGAGGTGTTACGCTAGCCGTGAAGGCCGACCCGGGTCACCCCGAAACGTTGCTGGCCAACGGGGCTCTGGTGAAACTGCGACTGGCTTAGCAGGCCGGCAGTGGATATAAACATTGCTCAAGAAAACATAAGGAGACACAAACGGACTGATCAAAACGGAAAACGACCTGGCGAGAAAAATGGACAACGATCAAGAAAAAATGAAAAAATAGGGACCTGGAACATTTGCAGCTTGACAAATAAAGAACCTGAGATAGTGGAGTTCATGACCCAGAACAAGATCTCCATCATGGGCATTACAGACATCAGGAAAAAAGGGACAGGCACAAAAGAGATCCACTCTAACTTTGTCCTCATTTGGAGTGGGGTAAGAAAAGAACAAAGAGCTGAACACGGTGTGGGCTTCATCATACACCCTGACAAAGCAAAGGAAATATTGAATACAGACTTCATTTCTGAAAGACTCATCAAAATCAGCATTAGAGAGGGCAAAAAGACCACAAACTACATCCAGGTGTATGTACCGAGCAACAACTCCTACTCAGACGAAGAAAAGGACTCTTTCTTCTAACAACTCTCGGACTTAATTAGCAACATCCCAGACGAGGAAGACCTTTATGTAATGGGAGACTTCAACGGAAGAGTCGGAGAGAGAAGAACACCGTGGACAAAACACCTGGGTCCACACAGTGACCACAGAACACCATGCAATTATAACGGCAACCATGTACTGGAACTGTGTGCAGAGCACGACTTATTCATCACCAACACCTTCTTCCAGCACAGAGCCTCTCAGATCTACACCTGGTACAGATGGAACAACATCATGGTCTCATCACAGATCGACTTCATATTAACGAGAACACGAATGCGGAACACAATCACAGACTCAAGAGCCATCCCCAATGCAGGCCTGGACACAGACCACAGGCCAATCATCACAACGTTGACCACCAAGAAAGAAAGAAAACCAAAAAAACATAAAAGACAGCAAGAGAGACTAAATATGCATAAACTTGGAGATGATCAGGTGCAGGCTCAGATCAGAAGCACGCTAAATGAAAAACTAAGCTCTATCAACTCTACAATACTAACCGTAGAGGAAGCTTGGGATACCTTCAAAACAACTCTCCTGGACACAATGAAAGAAGTTTGTGGTACCAAGAAAACAAGAGGAAAACACAGAAAAGCAACAGCCTGGTGGAACGAAGAAGTTAAAGATGCTATCAAGGAAAAAAAGAGACTGTATAATGTATGGGTCAAGTCAAAAAACGAAGAGGACTACATTAAATATAGACTTGCAAGAAGACACAGTAAGAAAGTCGTTATAACATCAAAAGAAAAGTCATGGACCCAGTATGGCGAAAAACTAAGTGAAACCTGCAAGACCTCACCAAGAGAGTTCTACCAGAAGGTAAAGACAATGAGAGTGAGAGACGAACCCTATGTACCCACCACTGTCATCAACGATAGTAATGGAGAAGCTCTGCACGAAGAGAAAGAAATAATAAAAAGATGGGAAGAATATTTTCAAGAACTACTAAACCCATCAGGAGTACAGGCACAAAACACACAGTGCCCATTCACCGCCAACTACCCTGAGCACTCAGAACCTACCATCCTGGAGAGTGAAGTGAGAGAAGCACTGAAAACTAGTCCAAAGAACAAGGCAGCTGGAGACGATGGCATCACAACCGAAGCCATCCTTGCATGCGGCGAAACCGGAATACATTGGCTTACAATCATCTTTCAAAAAGCATGGAAAGAAAGAAAAGTGCCAGCAGACTGGCAAAATGCGATAGTGGTGCCAATATGGAAGAAAAAGGGCAGCAAGAAAGACTGCAACACCTATAGAGGCATATCTCTTCTCAGCCATGTGGGGAAAATGTATGCAAAAATCCTAGAGCGACGTACTCGCGCAAAAACCGAACATCTTCTCAGTGACGCCCAATTTGGCTTTAGAAAAGGAAGAGGGTGCACTGATGCAATCTTCGCACTCCGACAACTGTGTGAGAGGGCTTTGGAATACGACAAAGATCTCCACCTCGTATTTGTGGATCGAGAAAAAGCCTTTGATCGAATAAATAGAAACAAGCAATGGAAGATCTTAGAGCAGTACAACATCAAGGGACAACTGCTAGACAACATCAGGGCTATCTATGCCAACAGCAGAAGCTCTGTCCGAACTACCAGTGGAACATCGGACTGGTTTCCAGTAACATCCGGAGTGAGACAGGGCTGCAATCTCTCCCCTCTGCTCTTCGTGATCTACATGGACCAGATAACAAAAGAGGCCAATCCAGACCCAGAGGCACTCAACGAACTCATGTTTGCAGATGACCTGGCAATGATTAACAACAAGACTCAGCTACAGGAGCATATAAACCAACTAAATGCGAGCTGCGAAAAATATGACATGAAGATCAGTATAAGCAAGACCGAAGTCATGACAATTAGCAGGAGACCAAGTAAAGTGGATATCAACATCAATGGATCCCAACTAAAACAAAGCATAGAATTCAAATACTTGGGCAGCATTTTCACAGAAAATGGAAAATTAGATCGAGAGATAGAGACTAGATGCCAGAGAGCCAACGCAGTCAGCTACCAACTGGGCCCTCTCCTGAAACATCCCAATATCCCCATGAGCACCAAGGCGAAGCTCCTCAACGCCATTTTCCTTCCAACGCTCACATATCAGTGCCAGACATGGACTCTAACAAAAGCCCTAGAGAGGAAACTGGTCACATGCGAGATGAAATGCTTAAGAAGAGCGGTCAACAAAACAAGAAGAGACAAAATTAAAAATGAAGTCATAAGGGACACCGTGGGAGCAACACCAGTCCTACCACACATTGAAAAACAAAAGGTCAAGTGGTTCGGACACCTCACGCGGATGCCCTCAAACCATCCAGCTCTGAGAGCATACAACATTAAATATTCTGGATGGAGAGCCAGAGGAAGACCAAGGCGACGATGGAGTGAATCTGTGGCAGACACCCTTAAAGATCATGGGATGTCCCTCCTACAGGCCACACGACTTGCTGCAGACAGACACCTGTGTCTCCCCGCGACACCCCAGGGTACAAGCGGAAGAAAAAAGTAAAAAAAGTAAAGTAAAGTAAAGTACTCTCTTGTGAATCCTCTAATCTTTGGCAGTTATGTGACCTTGTTGGTTTGCGAGTGCCGTAAAACTCTTACTAAAACCGAAGTGTTGTAAATAGTATTTATTTGTTTTCTTAAATAATGTAAATGGTTTTTAAAAAATTTTGCTTTCATTTTGTTTAGATGAAATGTAAGGAGTAATAAAGAATTAGATAAATAAAGAAATTCTGATTAGATATGATATGTTTGTAGCCTCTTACAATGAGGTTGATGATAATTGTGGTGATTGCATTATGATGAGCTGTTCAATCACCACCTACCTCTGCCCTCTCTTCCTATACTCTTTTAAAAGAAAAACAGTTGAGTTTGTTTCATTCATAAATGTTGCTCTTTGGTTTTCACTTTTGTAAATTTTGCCTTCTGGCCAAGATGTTCCTTTGATTTGAAAATTACTTTCTACAAGACAAGGCAACCCCCCCCGCGGCGGCGCCACAGACTGAAGTGTCTTTAGGCCATTCCCAAAGGAGGACATTTCTCGTTCTTATGCGCAGTAGAATTGTAAATGGGCTGATTCAACAATGTCATGCTCATAACTGTGCGTGAGCTACAACAGGGAACTGCTGCTTTTTCTTTCCTAATCCTTACTATCGTAATTTTTCCTCTACTTCTTTTGTATGTTTGTCACACTCTTGTGACCCACTATTTCCGGGGTGCCTTGATAGTTGAAGCAGACCTTGTGCTGTTCAAGCTAGAGAGGTGAGCAGAATAAGTCTGATTCCCTGTAAAGACTTCTCTGTTTACACCCACGCCCTTGGCGCTCATATGACCTTATGCAGTTGTGAGCGCTGTAAAACCCTCTACTATAATAATAATATAACTATACTCTTAAGAAAAGCAGCTGAGTTTGTTTCGTTCATAAATGTTGCTCTTTAGTTTTCACTTTTGTAAATTTTGCCTTCTGGCGAAGTTGTTCCTTTGATTGGAAAATCACTTTTTACAAGACAAGGCAATTAAAAATTGTGTGATTTTTTTCCTTCTAGGAAATTTTTGGAATGGACTCTTTACACAAGTACTCCTGGGCAAAGGTAAGACTTTTTTTTGCTCTCATTTAGTAACAGTTCAAAAACATGTTTGTGTTGATTTTTGGTCATATTTGTTCATACTCTATTTTTCTCACATTATTACATCATATTTCTAATCAGCTTAAAAATTTTTTTTTTTTTCTCAGTTTATCCGCTCAAGAGTTGTTTTTAAATTAATCACTGTTCAACAAGCACTTTCATTGTATACAGACCTCCCACTCATTCCGATTTTTTGCCCCAAATCTCAAGCATCCAGATTTTTCGGATTTCGATCACGTGTATCCTGATTTTTTTAGTTCCGTCCTTTGCGCCTAATTTTTCTAAAAACTGTCTCTGCCTTCTTCTCTGTAGCAGGAAGCACCTGTTAAACTTTTTGTCAACAGGAACTCAAAGCACTATTTTCCGAAATATCGATGCTGGATCTAGTAGTTGACTCGTCCAAAGTTGTGTAGGAACTTTGCTCGCACATGCTATCTCAACTATAATGGAAGAAGTATCAATTTGGCATTCAGACTTGGGACATTCTTAAGATCTACTTTAGTTTTTGGTGCCACTCAGAATTCTCCGATGATGGCCTTATAACTGTTTCAATTGCAACATACAAATGATTATTCGTAGTTTTGCTGTTATTAACAAGCTTTGTCCAAGTTCTGGTTAGTCGGACCAGTCATCAAGACTCGTCAGTAAAACTGTTTCAGTCGAGTGTTTGCATCACGTGACATGACTTCGACGTGTAAGTTCCTCATGTGTCGGGGACTGTCCATTGACAGGGTCAACTTAAGTTCATGCACACTGGTTGACGTGCCTTTTGGGACTTATTTAGGGGGGGGGGGGTTGTTAGACACTTGGAAAAGGAGTGCTTGATGTGATACTTCAGGACTTTAAAAAATAATGATAAAATACACGCACACACACTCATGCGGGCACACACAGACACTCACACACACACACGCGCGCGCGCACACACACACACGCAGAGTATATACATGAATATATGTATAGACACCCCAGGAAATTTTTTAATCAGCTTGGCAGTCACCTCAGTGATTTGTTGTTGATCCCGATTTTTTTCACCAAATCCTGATTTTTTCCCCCTGAGATTCTAATTTTTAGATTTCATAGAGTGGCAGATCTGTATGTATATTTTCAAACTCTTTCAAGGATTTCGGTGATTGAATGGTCAAGATTTTTTGTGTGGTTTCTGTGGCTTTTTCTTTTCTTTTCACAAATATGAATATTGAGCACTAAGCTGTTAACTTTTTATTCATATCCTAAAGTCTGTTAGAAAAATCTATTGTCATTGTAAATGTTTATTATCCTCAATTATTCTCTGCAGTTTCACATGCTGGAGATTACTCTCCTTTGGTTATCAAGCATACTCTATTTGTCATTTTTCTGAAGAAAGAATAATTCTTGTGTTTGATTTTCTGTATGTGTGTTCGTGGGGTTGGGGGGGTGGGATGGAGGGGTGTCTAGAGTTATCATTTACCCAGTCGACCCCTACAAATGAGAAGTGTGTGTGACCCATAGACTTGCATTATAATATCTAGACTGTGTACTCTGACATGGTTCTAGTTCACTGTAAAATGAAGCACACTATTTGACTCCATTTAACTCTTTAACCATGCAATTTAAAATCATGTTTCCGCGTAATTTTCTCGTGTTTGTGGAAATGCGACCCAACATATTACATTTTAAAAAAATGCTTGTTTCGCATCAAACTGAGTTACCCAGATATAGAATTAATTTATCTTTGACTTTAAACTAAAGGCTTGTTAGTTCGTATTTTTTATATTCGGCCGGTACCATAATACAATAATAACTTTGCATTGGACGGTGGTACCGTCCTGCCTTTGTTAAAGACCTCAACTACCTGACGCTGCCACCGTCCAGACATGGTTAAAGAGTTAAACCAAATGAAAGAAGGTGAGGATGGGGGGAGTTGGGAGGGGTAAGGTGCTGCACAGGCTCAAATATAATTTGACTGGTGTTATAATGGTGGGAAATATCAATAGTTGTTGTAAAAGATGGATTCATCTTTGCCCCTCTCACCCTCGGTGTGGGCATAGGCCACAAACGAACACTTTCCACCTTTCCCTATCCTGGGCTAGCCTATTGATGTTATTCCATGTCTAAAAGATGGATTGCATCCTTAGAAAGGAAAGATTTTTGCCCTTCATTTGGCATAATAGCACAGCCCATGGTATGCACGCTTTGTAATGGAGTTTTCAATGTAGATAGAAGAGCTATGGCCATGATAATACAGTCTAGGGGTATAAGGCTATGGTATGGCCCACCCTCAAAATGATAATATTTGTCGCGGTGTGGTGGAATCAGATGCTTGTTAATTTTTGGGCATTATTGGAATCATCCTTAAGCTTTTTCATTCGTCTTGCTTTTGATGATAAAATTACCCATCTATTTTTAATAGAAGTCGAGATATTGCGACCTCAGTGCTTTCTTGTCGTATCTCAATTTTTTTTACCAGTGAAAATCTGACATCTTGTTAAGCTCACTCTTTGTTATGAACTGTTTTCACCGTTATTAAAAATAGAGATATGACAAGAAAGCACTGGGGTCGCGATATGTTGGATTGAAGGAGGTGGGGGTCACCTGGTTTCAGAGGTAAAATTAGCAAAAAATGGCAGCCAAAGTTTGTGACTTCCAAAGCTTGAGAGTCCTTGGAAAGTGCAAATTTACATTTTCTGTGCCCTTTGTGTTTTTAATAAAATTCAACCTTAAATGTGTTTTAAAACAGACATAAAATGTGTTGAGCCAAGAAAATTAAAATTTGATTAAAATTACCCGTTGGCTAGAAAAATGCCTTTTTCTTCAGTTTCATTATTTTGACAAGCGCCTGATTTCGCCATGATGCCTCATATATATGTGTATAACGGAGCATGAAGTTCTTACAAATATTGTTTTAAACATCTGCAAAAAAACAACTACAACAAAATCAACAACCACGACAACTGGTGACGGTGTACTCTCTGTCGCAGCTGATGGGTACGGTGTTCAACTCCATGTCCAGCACATTCACCTGGTCCACAGACCTGTCCCTGTTTATCAATGTCCTCAACGGGACCATTGTCCTCCAGTTTGAAGACACTGCCATCTTGCGCTTTTGCCTGGCCACCCTCATCAATGCCAGCCGACACTTTAAGCACATTTTTGCAACCAATGGGTGGGTTGTTCAGTCGGTCGGTTGACTCGCTCTGTCTGCGAGCAGTGCTGCATGTTTTTTGTTTCCTTCCCCCTCCTCCTCCTCCTCTTCCGTTTTGTACCCACTTCTCTGGGTGGCATTGTTCTGTGTGTAGCTTTTTGGCAGTCAAGTGTTTGTGGATTCAAGCATGGTCTGCGGCTGTTAGTAGTAGTATTGCGTTGATCTTGTACTCCTATTCCCTGCCCTCTGTTTTGGACTTGTTTTAGCAGATTTGTGCCCTGGGTTGTTTGTTGTTTTGTTTTTTTCATGTTTTATGTTCTGTGTAGGCTTTTGGGCAGTCAAGTAAAACTAGTGAATTGAAGCATCGTCTATAGCTGTTTGTTGTATTGTCTTGATCCTGTTTTAGTGTTCTAGTAATCTCTAGTATTCTCTCCCTGGTGTTAGCTGTCTTTTGTGGACTTGTTGCACAGTAGGTTCATGCTCTGGTTTTTTTCCATGTTTTCTGTTCCATGTAGCTCTTTGGGCAGTCAAGTATTTTTGTGGATTTAAGCATAGTCAGTAACTACTGGTTGTTCTGTGTTGATGTTGTCCAAGTATTCCCGTATTGGAGTCTCCCATCTTCTTTGAATATGTTTCATTAGGTTTAGAAACGTGAGATTCTTTATGATTTATGTTCTGTGCAGCTTTTTGGTTGTCAGTTGGAAGTAGATTAATAGCCGGTCGGTGACTGCTGGTTGTTTTTTGTTTGTTCAATCCATTATAGTATTGCACACTCAATGTTACTCATGGTTTTGTTTTTTTATGATGTTTTTTTTAGGGGGGGGGGATGGTAGCCATGTTTGTTCTTTCTGTAGATGTATCGCATGAGAACTCCAGTTTGCTGGATGATGTTTGTTTGCTGTCAAATATCTGTGGACCTTTGCATTGTGTTATTGTGCTGACTTGTCGTCTAACTAGCATCATCCCCAGTGGTGGCCTTGGTCTTTGTGAACATTATTGTCCTTTGAGAAGATTTCTGCCTTAATTATTGCTTTTGACTTGATTCTTGCATGTCGAAATACTTTTGTAATTCGGGTTATTGAAAAAAATATTATTTTTCGTCTTTGCAATTGGTAAGTTCTTCAAGATTTATGACTTGCGTTTCGTGCATTTATACGAGAAATGTTTTGAGTTTGGAGAAAGGGGAACTGGAAAGTTTTTCAAGGGTACTGGTAGTATTTTTTCAAAATTAGAATTTTTTTTTAATGGTTTCATCAATTTCCCCTCTTTTGTCAGTTTCTCTTTTTTAAGTTTGAAGAACTTGTTTCCCTGCACGAAATGATTGTTATTGTGCTGATGTAAATTCTCTTCACTCAAACTCAAGCAGTAGTCCAGTTTTAATCTACTGGATAATTGTTTCATAATAAATTCTTTGACACAAACAAGGACAACTATTACTCATCGACTTTTTTGTGTGATGTCAGTTTTGAATGCATTCCTAGTTCAGTGGTCTCCTCCCGAGATCCCGATCATCGGCAGGAAGAGCAGGTTCATAGGCAGACCAGATTGAGGTTCTTTTTTTTTGGGGGGGGGGGGGGGGGTTGTTTTTAAAAAATGTTTTCTGCATGATGATGTTTTATTTTGACATAACTCGGCTGGTTCTAATTTTCATCTTTTGCAACATTGCATGAGGTCTGATGATACATATATAGATGCCTTTTTTCTTGATTTTTATTTAGTTTTCACTCTCTTTGGTGGGTTAAAATACTTGATATATTGTTTTTGGGGCTGTCAGGTCTCTTTGGTTTTCAAATTGAGTTTCATCATTTGTGTTATCGGAATGCAGACAAACCTATCCTAGACGAAATCCCAAGGGAGCCAGTAAAAAAATTATGTCTTACACATTTTCTGTTTTGGACTGGAAATTTAACGATGAAAGGGGGTCCAGAGGGATCAAGGGTGGCTGTCCGGTCGGCATGCAGTTGTCAAGACTTAACACCCCCTATTGCTGTCAGTGTCAGGGCCTCGCTAATGATAGCATGTGCCAGTCTTACTTATCAATTGCCTCCAGTACTTTCTTCACATAGGACCACTGATCGACTAATTAAAATCGGAAAGGGCTAAACATATCTTTTGTTTCCTCTCTTAACGCCACCCCATCAATGCAATAAGCACAGTCAACTTGTGCTATCCCACCCTTGCCTATTACAACGATTCTAGGAACTTTTTTCTTGGCTAGCAGTGGTCAAATTAATTTCTATCGAGTGGTATGGCAGTGAAGGTTCAAGCAGAGGAAAGCACTTGAACAATGTACTCCTTGGTTAGTGCTAATGGAATCAAATTTGGGAGTTTGTTTCAAATCAGAGTAAAGCAAAGCATTTTCCTTAGTTGACAGGTCAAAACTCTCCGAAGAGAAGGAATTTCTCTTTCCATTTCAGGTCAAGCAGGTTTCTATTTTAGCAGGTGTAATATAGAGGGTTTTGTCTGGAAGGGAGTGGGGAGATTATATTATGACAGGTTTCCATCTTGGACAAGTTTCTGTTTAGGCAGATTCTATCGACAATTTTGCAGACTGATGCATTCTAGAGGTATCACTTTTATGCTTTGACCAATCAGTCTGTTGCCTCTTTGGATAGCGTCCCATAAAAATTGCGAAGTGTTTTGAGTAGTGATAAAGACAACAAGGCTGCAAGACCCACAAAGAGAGTAGTATCATAGTCATGAATTATCACACTTTTCATGGATATCAGTCATAACTTGGACTCTGATCTGTGAATCTGAAAGATAATATAGTAATTTGTTCTTTATTGATGGCAGTAAAAAATATTTCTTTCTGGAAAGATAGTTTGGAACTGGGTTATGGTATCGGATAAAAATACTTATATTCGTGTGTGTTATGTGCATGAATAATCCATCATGCATATAACTATTCTGTGTGCTTACATTTTGTTGTAACAAATTGAAATTTATTCTTTTATTTTGTATCCCTGTATTCTTTTCACCAGAACTATGTGACCTTAGTTGTTTTCCTGTGCTTATGTACAAGTCGAACATTTCTGATAAAAATGATAGCAATTGTATTATTGATGACTATAGTTATTATAATTATGACAATGGTAATGATTATGATCATGATGTAAATAATAATAATGAGGGTTCACATCAATGTACCATATATTTTCTAGAAGAAGAAGAGTGATTTATACTCTGTGGATTAAAGTCTACATATGTCCACACGTCCACACTTCTGACAAAATTGAATTTTATGAAGTCTGTCTATGTATCTGTCAGTCTCTCTGTTTGTCTGTCCTTTTTCTACTCTTTTTTTTCTAATTCTCTCTGTACCTCTCTCTTTCACACACACACACACACACACACACACACACACACACACACACACACACACACACACACACACACACACACACACACACACACACACACACACACACACACACACACACACACTCACACACACACACACACACAAACACACACACACACACACACACACAATCTCTCTCTCTCTTTCTCTCTCTCTCTCTCTCCCCCCCCTCTCTTTCTCTCTTTCTCTCTCTCTCTCTCTCTCTCTCTCTCTCTCTCTCTCTCTCTCTCTCTCTTGCTCGCCCTCCTTCCTTCCCTCCCTTCCTCTCATTGTAACAGTGGCTGGCAGGACATTGCCAAGGTTTGTATTCTTTACTTTCCCTCTTTTGTTTCTGTCTCTAGTATTTGGTGCTTCTGTGACCTATTTGTGTTTGTTTCAAGTGCAGCAAAACTCGTGCTAAAACTTTTAAAAGTGGATGGTTAGCGGGTGCTCTGGTGTGGGTTGCTCCTTCTTTCCTATAAATAATCTATCTCCCCTCCTTCTTTTTTATGTTTTTTACTCTCTTGTAACATCTCTAATCTTCGGCACTTATATGACCTTATTGTGTTGCAAGTGCCGTAAAACTCTTACGAAAAAACCCAAACTAACCTGACTCCTTTCCCCCTGGCACAGGTTTCTGTACATCATGCCCACCCTACTGCGTGTGTACAGCAACAACCAGCCCAACCCCGTGCTGCGCCAGGCCGTGCACTTTGTGTGTAAACAGTTCTACATCCTGCACCGCAAGCCCTTCATCCTGCAGATGTTTGGCAGCGTGGCCCCGATCCTGGACATGACCTGCGCCGCTGGAGGGGTCAAGGATTGCACTAAGGTCAGTGGGTGGGGACATCTTGTGGTCATGTATTTCATGATTTTTGTGTTGTGAGCTGGTCCTCTTTGAACTTCGTGTCTGCACATACCTAGCCCTCGCGCGCTCATAATATGACTGTATACAGTTGTGAGCACTGTAAAACACATAATATACCCTTTTCTTACCGAGTAAACTTGTCAGGAGTGATATCGCCTGCTTGAGGAGATTTTCAAACTTTCCAGCTAGAAATGGATGTGTCAGAAAAATGTAAATATTGTACTATAATTATTTTTTCTAACATTGAAAATCATGTTTGAAAGAAATGCCTATAGCTAAAGGTTCCAAAATAGTAGCTGGCTACTACAATGATTGAATATTGAGGAAAAATGACGGTTTTCTGGCTAATTTTACCTCTGAAACCTGGGGACCCCCACCTCCTGCTATTGCACATATCTTAACTTCCATAAATGATATTTAGGTGGTTTATTCATCGAACGCAAGAGAAATGAGCAAGCTTTAAGACGAAACCAATAAAACCCCATTCCCAAAAATTGACGAGTGCTTGATTCCACTATGTCGGGACGCATGTAAAAGGGTTGACCACACATAGCCATTTAAAAATGAGAGAGAGAGAGAGAAAGAGAGAGAGAGAGAGAGAGAGAGAGAGAGAGAGAGAGAGAGA